CACACACACACACACACACACACACACACACACACACACACACACACTGGAATACTCCTCAATGGAATATTCCGCAGCCATAAAAAGAATGAAATCTTGCCATTTACAACAACATGGATGGACTTGGAGGGTATTATGCTAAGTGAAATAAGTCAGACAGAGGAAGAGAAATACTGTATATCACTTACATGTGGAATCTAAAAAATAAAACTAGTGAGTATAACAAAAAAGCCTCACAGATGTAGAGAATAAACTAGTGGTTACCAGTGGGGAAAGGGAAGGGGGAAGAGGCAAGACGGGTAGGGGATTAAGAAGTACCAACTATTATGTATAAAATAAATAAGCTACAAGGATATTTTGTACAACACGGGGAATACAGCCAATATTTTATAACTACAAATGGAACATAACCTTTAAAAATTGTGAATCACTATGTTGTACACCTCAAGTTAATATACATCAAATATACCACCCCTCATATATATGTGTATATGCATACCTGTGTGTGTGATATTGTCCAATGAATGAAACTTGGTTTTTTTGAAAAAGCCCAAGAAAAGAATATATTTTGAGCGGAAAATTAGTTTTGTAACTTGGGTGGAATACTACACCTCAGGGTGGCTCAGCATTATGATGTGCCTTGTGCTCTGTTCAAAGATCTGATGTGTCATATGCTCTACGTAAAACCAGGAAGAATCCACTTGTGGAATTTTTCTATAAGTGCTCCAGCAATGAAACAGCTGCCCGAGTGAGGAATTCCAGTTTGAAAAGGTAAACCACATTATACTGCAGGTAACTAGTGGAGAGATTTTGGGCACAGTACACAATCTGATTTTCAACTGACCCGGGAGCCTATACAAACAATGCCACATTCACAGATGTGGGGATTCATATAGGTCTTGGCTATCTTTCGAGATGTCAGGGGTCTACTGCAGGTAACATCAGTGAGCAAAAGGCGTAGGATCCAAGGAAGATACCACCGTCCACACAGTGATAAATGCAAACTTACACCTGCTTCGCTGTTGCAATTAAGAGGGAGTAGACAGAACTGTAACACACTGTAGTGTGCACACCCCAACCGGAGGGCTGCTTGGTGCTAGTCAGTTGTTGCCTTGAGGGATTGTAGATCTCATGTATTCTAATTTTTATAAAAAAGTTGGAGGTCTAGGTTTTTATGTATTTCCAATTAAAAAATGCTAGCAGCTAGTTCACTAAAACAAACATTGTACAAACCAAATACCCGTGTGGCAAGCTAAGATTCGGCCCATGGATCACCAATTGGCTACCCCTGGGCTGTAGTTTATTTATCTGCCCCCTTTTGCCTGTGAGCTCCAGGACCCTAGAACCTGGTAAAAGGAATATACACATTCACTGAAGGGCAGTTGGAATAAGAACATGCACTCAAACTTGAAAGATGAGGGCTTAAAAGCCTCATTCAGCAAATTAGTGTTATGTGAAATTCATTCATTCCTCATTATTTATTGCATATCCTAGTACAGGCCAGGCACTGTTGTAGGATTAGGTAAGGGCCATACAGTAATGAATAAATCACATTTCTGCTGCTCTCCTGAAGCTTATATTCTAATAAGAGAGTCAATGATAAAGTAAAATAAGGTAATTTCAGATAGTGGCAAGCATTATGAAGAAGTTAATGTTAGCAAGGAATAGAACGTTGATGGGGGTTGTCAAGAGGGGCTTATTTCTGGAGAGGGGACCTGAATGATGAAGCCTATCACACAAGATATGGAAGAAAAGCATCCCGAGCAGGGAGGACAGCAAGTGGGAAGGACCAGGAATAGATGTGCACATTTGAGGAAGAGGAGAGGTTGGTTGATGGAAGAGGCTGGCAGGGGTCAGATCACATACAGCTGGAGTCGGGTTTGTAGAGTGAAATGAGAAACCACTGCAAGTTTTATGTATTAGAACAACATGGGATTAACGTTTCCAATACATCATTAGCTACTGTTTGAAGGACTGTGGCAAAGACGTACAGACAGAAATGCTACTATGCCTACTATTGAGATGATAGTTGATATAGGAGAGGAATTTGATGACATAGAACCAGGCAGGGTAGGAATTTCCTGTCCTTAGAACTGAGTTAGAATTATCCTGAGCAGAGGTGGCAAAAGCAGAAAGGTCAAGAGGACAGCTGGAATCAAGGAGACTGGTGTTTATTTCATGCTTTAATTATTAAAATCTTGTACTGTTCAGATTCAGAGCTAATCTCAGTGAGGCAGCATTCTGAAACAGCTGTATTTTGAACTGTGTTCATAGGAAATGTAGAATTCAAACTTCTCTAAGTAGTTGGGTGCTTTCTAACATGATTGTTTGGATTGCAGGGGTAAAAATAGAACCCCCTTATGTCTAACACACATACTGTGTACAATGCTGGGAGGTAAGGGCCAGTTTGCAGACAAGACGTTAAGTAACTTGCCACATCCCCTTAGTAGGTGAATGACTTGAATGCAGAGCTGACATGGAAGCCCATGTTCCTTTTATTCCAGAAATGGACAAAGTTCAAACGGTTACAAAGTCAAGCTGTGTCTTCCAGCCACAGGATTGGCTCCTCTAAGGGACACGAGGGGATCAAGGCTGGACCTAGAATTGATCATTACTTTTGGAGCCAAGAGGTGGGTACTCGACTTTCCCCAAGAAAGGGCTTGTATTAAGAATCATTAGGATGAATACTAAACATCTTATTTGTAGATTTACAGCTGCAGTGGAAACCAAAGGTGAGCGGACAGACACAAATGGGGCGCGTACATACAAGGCTGTTGAGGTACAAGAAGTAATGTATTAACATCAGGAACTTGGTGAGATACCTGGTGAATGAGGCCGCAATTTAGTACGTTTAGCCTGGGTTCCCAGACTTCTGAACTTCAGTAAAAAAAAAAAAAAAATTATAGTTACCAAGCCTTGAGATCTACAAGGAACAGAAAAATGTGTTCAGGGACACCATAGGGTTACAATTGGGCAACCCAGAATATGGAAAATTCCAAGACAAATGACCCAATTTCTTTAAATTTCAAGGAAAAAAAAGATGGACAATCTGTGATTTAAACCAAATATAGACCTTGTTTGAACAAACCAATTATAAAAACAAATGAGAGACAGTAAGGGAAATCTGAATACTAAGTTAGACACACTGTTACTTTAAGTATAATAAAAATATTATGGACATTTAAAAAGCCCTTACCTTTTGGACTGAAATACGTGATAAAATCATTTGTCTGGGATTTTCTTCCAAGTAAGGGTGGGAGGTGGAATGGTGAGTTAGTGAGGTATAAACAACATTGCCTGACCTAGAACTGATCAGTACTTTTGGAGCCAAGAGGTGGGTATCCGACTTTCCCCTAATAAAAGTCTGAAAATTAAGTTTTTTAATTTGGGTACAGCAGCATAACGTTGTCAAGCTCTTGACAACCTAGAAAACTGATTCACTAACAGCACAGGACAAAAATTAGGACACAAGGAAAAGTTACCATCTCAAAGCAACGTCTAACATGCAACCCTCACTTCACATGCAGATGTATCCTCCATACCTTCCATCTTCACAAAACCCCTTCACCCGCGTACTATTTCCAAACAAGGATAGAGCAGGTAAAAATTTCTACACTATTAAGAATTCCGGATTAATTTGTTAAACAGGGCCTTGACATTTGCCTGTGCTTTTCTTCATGCCAGTCTTGTAAAGGAAAGAAACTGTTTGCTATTTAGAGGCAGTTTAAGCTCTGCACAAATACTGTTACGGTTTAGCAATTTTATCATAAAAGCACATGTAGAAAGAACACTCTAAATGAACTGTTTATCCTTCCAGAAGTTGCTCATTCATACTAGGCCATGTTAGTTAGTTTTTATAGTCAGAAATGTAACTGATTAAGTATCATACCCGACATTTCTATATCCAAGTGAATCTTGTCTCCCTGTGAGGCTTTCTACTTTTTCCAGCCCCAACGCCCGCCACTGCTGAAATGTGTTCGGAAATCTTTGGAATCCTCTTCAGAAGCTGTAACTATTCTTTTTAAACATCCTTAGTGGCAGTAAATCTTCATCTCTTTGTGGGTGTATTTGAGTTTTTGAAACAGCAACAAGTCATTTGGAGCCAAGTCTAGTGAACAAGGTAAGTAATCAAGATGGGTGAAAATTTTAATGGAAAATTTTAACTATAAAGCAATCTTTTATTTATTATGGCCTTTACGATCTCTAAATTGACTTCCAAAATATTGGGGAAATAACTCTCCATGTGAATAATGCTAAAAATATTCTTTGGCTATGACTTCTGGCTTTTTTTCTTTGTGGTCAGACTTGACTTTAACAGCCAGCCCGGGGGGTGGGCGGCTCACCTTATCACTTAGTTCTCCTAGCTTAGATAAAAAGCGTCATTAAATACCTCAAGAAAAATGTTAACGCTCAGTAGTTGTCTCTAATTTGCTGTCATGTTGAAAGTTCTGGTTTGCTCACCCTTGCAATAGTACTTAAAACCGACTTAAAATAACCTTATGGTGCCATTTATGTGCAAATCAAGTTTTGACTTAGTTTCATGCTACAATTAAACATTTAATGTTACATTGTTGGGCCACACCCATTTGCTTTTTCCATATATACAGAGAAGATTTCTATGATAGCTCCCAATGCAGGTAAGAATTACATTTTAATCTCCAACTTTATGTAATGGAAGAAAGAACAGGTCTGTCAGAAAATCAGTACAGCCATTTTACTATTGAAACTTTTCTCTTTTTAATAATTTATTTAAATAAGATGTATGAAGCAGTTTAGAAAAACAAGATTTGTATTTTATTTCCTTGTAAAAATCTTTACACATGCAGACGAACCAGTGTTAAGAAAGTATTCACCATCATTTAAACAAATAACCACTTAAATAGAACAGTGTCTGCAATTTCATCTGTATAAAAATAAGATACATTTTTACAGAATTCACGCTCCAGTTCTTATAGCAATAAACAATACACAAGTATAATAATTACAATTGAACCTGACCATGGTTTTCAATTAGATACTGCTAGGGCATTTTATGTGCAAAAAAAAAACAAACAAAAAAGAAACAAACATAGTTCTTTTCAAAAGAAAATGTCCTCAGTGTTTCTAGAGACCTAGAGAATTTTAAGAAATCAAATCCTAATCAGTTTGCTTTTAATTGTTTGTTTCAATTATGAGTCCATACATCACACTGTAGATAGCCAAAATCAAAAGTTGATGCAGGCTCAAAGGAAGAAATTCAGCGCCTGTGCCTGCCATGTCCTGAGCGACTGCCACCATGGTGCTTGCCTTTATGAGACCTCTCAAAGGAGCGAGATCTTTCACGCCTGTCCCTATGGTGTCCCCTTTCATGCCTGTGTTTCTTGACAGCGTCTGAATGATCCCGAGACTTGCTCTGAGATCGAGAACGAGACTTTTTCCTTTTATGACCATGTCTATTTGAACTTTTTAAATCATCTCTGGTATGCTTGGCTTTAAGGTGAGGAGAACCATGATTATGATGTCTTCTTGGGCTTTCACTGTGACTGCGGGACCTGCTTCTTGATCTCGAGCTGTATGTTCCAGATCGACTCCGCCTATTATTATAACTTAGATAATAAAAATTTGAGGTTTAGATTCAGTTTCTACTGCGAACAGATTAGTTTTGGTGGTGCTCATCATAGCAGGTTCAAAACAAAACTATCAAATGGTGTCAGTAACAGGCCAGACTGAAGACTTTTATTGTATTTCCCCCACCCCTCACTACCTCTCCTCCAGCCTGTTCACATATTAGACAAATCTTGAACAAATTTACTGTATGTCTATATTCCAAGGAGGGGAGTAATTAATTTTTAGTGCCCTAGATAGCTATTTATTGAATTATCTCCCACACGCTCAAAAGAACCACTGAAGAGCCACAAGTAGCCAGCCATCTAATTATAAAGCTAATTAGTGAAGAGTCTTTGGCTATGATTGTCCTGATTATTGGTTATTAATTATTAAGTGGTCAGCCAGGCCCTACACTTCAAAAAACGTGGACAAAAACAATAGAATGCCATACAGACACCACCACAAAACAAAAAAGCCACACGCCTACAGAGCGTATTTCCAAACTCATTTCTCACAATTTACCTCATATTAAGCTAAATCTAGCCTAACTTTGAGAATAGTCTATGTGCAATTTTTTAAAAAAAAGCCAGAACCTTTACTCCAAATAAGACTGCTTTCCCTAAGAGAGTATCTACTTACTGTCTTCTTGGAGTGTGTGATCTAGAACGTGATCGTGTTCTTGACCTTGATCGACTTGCACTTCTGCTATTTCTACTTCTTTTGCTGTCTTTTCTTACACTTAAAAAAAAAAAAACCCACACAATATTTTAGTTGCATACTAAGTATGTTAGAAATTAAACACATAAAAAGATTCCTCAGGCCATTTTTCTAACTCAAGTATACTCACCCATTATAAGGGCTTTTGGAAGCCTGTTGTCTATCCTCAGGTTCTTTTTTGACTGTCTTCACATTAACGGAGATCGGCGACTTCTCTTCAGCTTTTACTTCTCTTGGTGATGCTGTTAAAAAAAACATAATAAGGCATGTTAACTATTAGATTTTACAGAGGGCCAATTTTGTTTCTAAATGTGACTCCAAATACCATCCAAGTATCAGTCCTCAGTTGGCTGTCATGAGAGAAAACAGTAATAGTTTCTTAACATCTTTGTTTCTATGCAACTGTTAAGTGCTAAGGCTTTCTAATAACCATACATCTTCAGTACTCAAGTCATTTCAATCCTGAATTAATCTTACATGGTTTAGAGGCTGGAGAGAATCCACCAAGGGTTGAAAGGGCTGGAGTTCCATCGGGATTCAATCCCTTTGCTTTTAATTTGGCTTCTTGTAAGGCCACTTTTCTTTTCTCTACTTCTTTTTCCAGCAATTCATAGTTTGGCTGTTGAAGAAAGTGAAGTTAGTATTTCTCTTTTACAGAAGTTTAGATTCTTAGCACTGACAAAATATTAACACAAACACTAGTAAACAGAATTACCTTTTTTCTGGTATAAAGCCTGAGCGTTTCTATGCAGATTTCCTGGATATCCTCTTCGGTAGTACCAAAAAGAAGAAACCAATGGGGACGAGTTGGCAATGGAATCTAAACCATAAAAATAGAATAGTTTACATGAAATTGTCACTGTTTTTATTAGGAGAACTGATACTTCTTGTGATTTACCCTACAGGACTATAGAATATATATATCAGGCTATATATATAACAACCTACCTGAAGAGCTCTAGCTGCAAGGTAGATGCAAGCACATGCTATAGTCTCTGGTTGAAATCGAACAAATACATTGGTTCGAAGACTGTCATTCATATAATTCCTGAAAAATATTTCAACCATAAGCTTTGTATGTAAATAAACCAGTTCTTCTGAAGCTTACATAAAATTGGAGACTCAATCTACTTTATTCTTTTTTCTTCTCATATTTTTATCTTCAATATTCTAGCATATAACAATTCTTAACTCAAAAATCAGTAAGAGATAAGAATTTAACACTAGAATCATTCTTCATGTCTCATATATAAGCAAAGTCCTTTAAAATAATTCCTTATTATTCCAAATAGAACGTAAAGTTTTTTAAAAACATATTTCTATGAAAAGCAATGAAAGTCAGTTCTGACATGACCAGTTTCAGAAATAAACCACTCCAACAATACTTCAAGCCATTAATTACTGACCATCTCTCCTTTATCCACAATGAAAAGCAGTGTCAATCAAGTTCTTTCAAAAACTCAATACTGTGAGAGGGGTAAAAAAGGCATTTTCAATAAGCACTCACCAAATTATATTAAGAAAGCTAAGTAATCTACTTCAGAAAACCTGGGTTGGGAAGTGAAGAGCAAACACATACAACAGCCTTGTTTACATACCTTTTTGTGACTAAGTATAAATAAAAGCAGTAACTACTTCAGTTAACAAATTACTGGACTTTTATATTAGTGAACCCTCCCCACAAAATTCCTAAAGTATTGAAGAAATTTTACAAATAGTTCAAAAGGTTAACTAAAAGACTATTTCTTAAAATTCCTTACCCATGAAAACTGCTAAAAATCTGTTTTATAGAACATATATTAAAAAATGTCATGCATTTTATAAAAGTAATGAGACTTTTCTAGTATTAATATTTATTGAGCCCAAAAAGCATGGCAGTCATAAGTCCAGAACATAAGAATTACATCACTTAAGTACTGCACATCATCAACAGTCTTAAGACAGTAGTTGTGGCTGAACCACGAACTCCTTGTTTTGACTTTAAATAAGTCAGCACTGCAAATCACACAAAGTAAGTTCTAAAGTGCTATGTTAATATTAACATCTCTTAAAAATGAAGTACTTCTTTCTTCTAATACTATTGCCTCCAATAGCCCAGCAGCTATGAATTCAAGTATGGTAATGGTGCCCACTTTAAGCTGCCGTCTCCTTTGGTAGAATTCATGCTATACATACCAAAAAAAAATAGAAATCTAGTCAAACTCCTAACAAAAATCATTTAATTCATAATGGCTGGACAACAAATCTATCAAAAATGAACTATTCATTTTGATAGTTACAGGTATACATTAAATACATAGGCATGTTGAAGAGTTACTTCTAGAAGCAAATATACAAATCCTTTTGACACCCCGACAGAACTAGAAGATGCTGCCAGATGGATATGGACCACTTCAGTGAATCTCGGATGAGAGCTTGCACTGGATTGGCTGGAGAGCAGGGCAGCCAATCAGGCCATCCTGAGGTCATGGGCTGAAGTGCAGAGGGCAGAGTTCTATGACTTACCATCATGGACTACCCTTTAATTAAAGAGTAGAAAAAAGAACAAAGTTAAACTGAGTTCTCCATTAAAAGTAATTAGTCAAGCCAAGAAAACAGGAAGCAGAAATAAGCATTATTTACCTTTTCATTAAAAAACAAAAAAACAAAAAGCACCAAAACAAACTCATCTCATTATTTTGGAAAGGGAAAATGAAACTTACTTTATTTCTGCTTCTGTTTTCCTGGCTAGGAAAGAAATGTAAAAAAGCAACTTACCAGGCAGTTTGAACCAGGGTTTGATTACGTTCACATTCTAAGACTTGTAAATACATAACAATGATCTGAAGGACAAGGGAAAAAAACTCAGTTTAGCATACTGGTGGTTCTTTCAGAGTACAGAGTTCAATGAACATAAGTAACTGAAAATGTTAGGTGCAAGTTTTAATTCTTCTATAAACTGTATAAATAATACAGACCAACTAAAATGTACCCGAGAGTCAATGTAGGTTATTATGCTACTAGAGTTCATACGGAGACGTAATGTTCCAAAATCGTGCAGGAAAAAAAATGGAAGTTAAATCAGTTAAGAACAGTATCTAAGTTTCATGTGACAGGAACTGATTATTTCATTTAATTTCCCAAGGTACAAAAACCCTAGAAGGGCTTCCCTGGTGGCGCAGTGGTTGAGAGTCCGCCTGCCGATGCAGGGGACACGGGTTCATGCCCTGGTCCGGGAAGATCCCACATGCCGCGGAGCGGCTGGGCCCGTGAGGCATGACCGCTGAGCCTGCGCTCCGCAACAGGAGAGGCCACAACAGTGAGAAGCCCGTGTACCGCAAAAAAAAAAAAAAAAAAAAAAAAAACCTAGAGACTGCTGTATTTTTAAAGTTACACAATGGGTGTGATACATACGTATGTACAACTCAGAGTGGGTAAGTAATCAAACACTAATATTTCTACAGTGAAGCTTATCACACTAAAGTGTGATGAGTTTACCTCAGTTCTGATCTTTCTGGACCTGTATTATCACTCGCATTTTACAATTTTAGAGATGTGGAATCTGAGAAACATATCTGCCTAGGTCACACAGCTAATAGCAGAAACAAGTTTCTATGTGCAGATGATCCTGCCCCCAAAGCACCTGTTCTCTTAACCATTGTGCTACAGCTTATGTTGAGCATATGGAAGCCAAGAGACACTGGAGAAACCTAAGAACATTCAATAATGCTAAAAGTGAGCAGCCACACTCAGCATTTCACCATGCAACAGGGTAGCATACTGTCAGATACTTCTGCAGATACACATATTATTTATTCCTTGGCTAATATCTAAAAATCTCCGTTTTCTAGGTATGGAAACTGGGTTACCTCAGAAGCAAAAAGAACAAAATAAAGAGTGAAGATTTGAACCCAAGTCTTTTCAACTCCCATTTTACTGATAAATATCAATATCCAAAAAGTTGCTTTTTACAACCAACTCTCAAATATAAATTCATGTAAAATAAAATTTTAAGAAAATCCCTAATACTTACGAATGTTATTTCTGTATTCTACAACTCACCTTATGGGGATGCTTGACATGAACACAAAATCCCAACTCCTTTAGCACCCTCCTCTCTGCCTTGATAACTTGATTTTTGGTGTTAATGTAGTTCTGATCAAGGATCAGGGGGCTTGGAGTCCTATAGTTTGTAAGAAATAAAATCAAAACTGTTTTGCACATCCAAAAAATTTTATTTGTGGCATCTCCATTTTCCCTTCCAACCAACTATTGGCAACAGAAACCAGCTTTTTAAACTCCTGCAAACAAGTTAAAAGCATTAATCTTGTGCTGTCCAAGTTATACTAATTAAATATATACTTTCTAGACTCAGTTCCTAGTTTACTAACAAAACCCTGCAATGAAAAAAATTCACTCTAATGCTCTTAGATACATCCTTGTTGATTTTTTTCATCCAGATATTTTAGGTATATATATTAGGTGATAGCCTGATTTATTTCCACAAACCTCGTTAGTCTCCATAGACTCCAGGAACAAAACTAATGTGCTCTTGAAAATATGTATTATAAAGACCTCATAAGATTATAGTGATTTTACTCATTTTATAAAATATCAACTCTTGGCTAGTTTAACGCCAAAATTAAAATTAGGGGATAAAACGGTGGGTAGCTAATTCAGATTCCCCTAAATGGGCAATTTGTTTAAATAAACTGATCTAAGAATCTCTGTTAAAGAAAATAATCTGGAAACTATAGATTCAGCTCAATTACCAAAGAAATGTTTTAAAAATCAAATTTAAAATTCGAAGTGATCAATAAAACCAGGCCAAAATTTGGTCAGAGTTGTCATTATTAGGTACTAACTTTAGTATGCAATGGCAAAAGAGATGGGAAGACCAACCATAATGAAGAAACTAGAAGAGTACTCAAGGTCTCTGTGCCAGACTAAATTATGATAGCTTCAAAAGTTATGATGCAGAAGGCGACATATATCAGTGGTTCAATGATTTGGGGGAAAAAAGCTTTCAATTAAAACATCTTTAAGTCTTAAAATTGAAAACTAGTTTCTTAATGAGAAGTCAGTCAGGACTTAGACTTTCACTTTAAAGCCTATAAAATGTCCCAATGTCCTTCATTTGAGACATTCTTAGATCCAACCAACAACAAATACGTTTTTATTAAGACCCTGATAAGGTATGTATCTGGGTAGAACAATTAAATACTTTTCCCTATACTCAATTCATTTTCAGCCAAAAGATTCAAGAGTTTTTGCTCTGGGCAGAACACAACATTTTAAAAAGACAGTCATTCTGAACATTGCCCCCACTTTATAACTCATTTTACCATGCACACCAAATCCAGAAAAATTTAAGCCCACGTTAGCCAAAAACCTAGATATCCATTTGAAGATCAGAAAACAATCTGAAATAAGCTCCATTACCCTGTAGTGATATGCTACCAGAGTAAAAACAATCAGCTACCATATTTATTTTCCATTCCTTCTCCTATTTCAAATTATAAAACTGGAATGTTTAAACTATTTTAAATTATTCTATACTATACGATTTCTATCAAGTTGGATATAAGACAAAAGTTGGCAAAGCTGACAAGATGGAAAACAGCATGTTAACAACATTTAAAATGGCCTTCACTCAATTCAGTTCTTCTTATAGCTTTGAAAGGTGTGAGAAATGCGGCCACCAATTGGGGAGGGAGCTGATTTCTAACATTAAAAACATAATAATTAACCCATTTTTATCAGGACAAATAGGCTACAAGTTCATTGTTCTTTGGAAAAAAATCAAATTTAACTCAAATGATAACAATTAATGTATATATGAAAACATATTCCAAAGATCTTAAGGTTTATGATTTTTCAGATATTAAAACAGAAAATTTGGAAAAAAAGTCAAATGGACTAGTTATCTGATGGCCCCTTCATCAGGCATTCATTAGGAGACAGAATACCTCTGGTGTTATAGTTGCGCATCACCTTAACCCTTAACGTACAACTCAAACAGTAAACTGCACCATTAGAATCCTTATAAAATTATTATAAAAGCAGTTTTGTCTCATTTTTTCCCACTTATGTTGAACAAATTCATTATACCTCTTACTCAACTTGCTTTAAGAGTTGATTTCAAATTCTGTTAAAATTCATTTTCTTGCAATCAACCAACTAAACATTTGAATTATGGCTATTAGTCCCAAATCAGGTTTAATCATTAATTCTGCTTACGCGAATTACTTCCCATCCACTCTGCCACAATCTTTACTTTCCCATTTTTTTGTGTCAAAATCCCAACATTAAACCAATTAAGCAAACCAAACTACTATCTACTATAATTCCACTAAGTGCACAGCTTATTGCTTAGGCCTACTACTACCTGTAGTCTTCAAAGTTAACTTTGTAGGTGTATAATCTGATACCTTCTTTTTGTTCAGAACTGGTTTTACCTCACAAATCAAAGGCTCGATGAATATATAATTTACACTACTTACAAAGACTATTTTGTATCAGAAGTAGAAAAATGTGTCCCCATATAACAGCAGTAAGAAAAGATTCAGACTGCCTCAGCAAATGGTTTCTTTAAAGTATCAACCTAGTACCTTACGTGGTAACAAGTACATCAAATTGAATTAAGGCTTACTAGAATTTCTTCCTCCCCAATTAGGTAAACTTTCCTTTCCAATAAAGGTTTGAAGAGGTAACATTTTAAATCTTTTTAAAAGAAACCATCTGTTCAGAAAACAATTTTCATGATCAAAAAGTACCCAAACCTAACTCTACCTACCTCCTCCTCTTTTAACTTGGTCAGATTTTTCAGATTAATTTATATGAAAAGAACAACTTTCAAATTTTAGTCTTAGTATGAAATTCTGAGTTCTGGTCATTTGACGTTTATTATCTGGTCTCTCAGAATAGCTATTTTTCCTTCAGCATGATCTTGAAATACAACCACAACAACAAATTTAGGAGCAGATCCAAACATGGTTTGTCTCACTCACGTGGTACAAAGGACCAAGAAAATGAAGAACAAGTTCTTTAAGAGACTGTACTTAAATGAGATCAGTTTACAAGAAGGCAGACTGCTACTCAACCTACAGAAATTTGTTAATTCCTACCTCAAAAGAACGTTCTTTCTTTGGCAGTGTTTAAACAAACACTTTTCAAGCCACCAAAATAAAATGCAGAGGAAGACTGGACTAAATGACAAGATCTCTTCCCTTCTAACTCTAATCTATGATCTATATGCATATTGAAAATACCACACCATATTCACCAATGAGTGGGTTGCACCAGGCTTCGAATATTTGTCTTCTTTTAGAGAAGCCTTATAGTATGAAGGTAGGTGCCTTAAAACTACATAAAACTCTTAATTTGCTGGGAGTATGCTACATCTCAAAAGCAAATTATAATTGGAAACTATTGAAACAAAAAAGCAATCTTACTTTTTTAAATTCAGCCATTATTCCGAGCTTAAAAAACCATTCTCAAACTACAAAAAACTGAAGAGAGGAAAAAAAAAATCCAGGATGGGGCTTGGGCATTAGTTCTTTCTAAAAGCTCCTCTGATGATTCTAATATGTAGTCAGGACTTAAATCCAGTGACCTAAAGTCTACAAATACAATGCCTCTGTTTTTTTTTATTACCAAGGTCACACTTCAATTTAAAGCTATTCATAAACTAAATTAAAATAAATAGCACCAATAAGACAAACTGATACATACTTTACCTAAAGTGTGATATTGATAGTACTTTCTAATAACATTAACCTATGCAAAAAATTACTATCGTTCTAATAACTTGGACAGCAAAGACAAACGCTTATAACAAGAAACAGGAGTTTTTCTAAATGGTTCACCAGTGGCCAACCTGTTAGTCCCCGATTCCAGTGACCTATTCTCAGAGCACTGGCTTCTCCTTGGGGATTTTCGATACTTCACTCACTGTTGCCATGACGACAGCTTCATCGCTATGTACCACTCCACATCACCCAGGCTTTGGTAAATGTAGCTGGTCGCTGTATAGTCGGTTGCAAGGGAAAAAAGAGTTGAAGTTAATAACATATACAAGCTACCTGTCTGAGTAAACTTGTAATATGCATAGAACACTTTTACATCCTGCCTTAAAAAAAAGACTTCCATGCAATTAACAACTCCTTTTAAATTTCATGCTATAATCAGACTTCTAAGATTGAGACACAATCAATTTCTCTGCAATAATGACCGAAAGAAAAGGGGAAAAAAAAAAAAAAACCACAGTTACATCAGACACGACAGTCAAATCAGGTGAGATGTTTTAAATTCCAAGGTTTTTATAGTTAAGAGGACCTACTCTGAAATCAAGGAAGACTACTCAAAGAAAAATTTCAAAGTAGATAATACTAAATGATAATAGTGAGCTCAATGGTCCAAAGAATACTAACAAAACTATTTCCTTTAAGCAAACACAGAATCCTTTGACGAAAGATACAAAACCTTTTTATTAGTGTCATTTTGTTTAAACACCCTGAAGAATCACCTAAATCTAAGTTTTAGCTCAGAACATGCTAAATACCAATTTGAAAACTTCCCAATTTTCAGGGATTCCTCACTAAGAAGCTAAAAGATATTTTAAAATGAAAACTAAAAAAAGTAGTCTATCCCTTGAAATGGTTACGGTTAATGAGAAAAGATGGCAGAATAAAGAATGTAGAAAACTGAAAAATGCCGTGAAATCTGGGTAGCAATGTTTCAGATTTTAAGGTTACTACTGGCTTGTCTCTGAATAATTCCATTACTGCCAACTTACAGACTCAGCAAAAAGACCACTCACGTAAGACACTAATTGGGTACTAACCGGTTACCCAACCCCAAAACGACTTAAAATCCTTTTATAACTAACTTCCTTTCAAACTCAATACAAGTTTATCTAACATCACAACAATTCCTTAAAAAGCGAACACAAGAACTAATCTACACCAAATATATTCTTTTGTAGCATGTACTAGAGATCATCTATAGACAAAAGCACTACAACTAAAACTTTTTGGTACTGCCTCGCAGGAACACATAAAGTGTTAGCAGGTATCCACGACACCTAAAAGACAACACTATTTTGGTCTCTATTTTCTTACAAGATCAGATAAATGGGCCTTATCTAAATGCAACCCACTCACTGAGACTGTCACCTGACCAAAACAAAATACCTGTTTAATCCCTTTGACTCCAAACTTTATCATCCTGCAGTCCTTTCAGATCCGGTATTATAGGATATATCGTAGTTCAATGTTGAGAAGTATTCTAACAAAAGCCAACCTCAATTGGTAAGGAATTAACTGGGACTTCCCATGGAAAAACAATCTACACAAAATTTTGCCACAGTATTAACTTGAACTGCAGTGTTTACACTTCCAGCCTTCAGTCTTCCAGAGAAGGGAGGGGAAAAATAACTTACAGAATACACTCAGACTTGAGTCAAACGTATTCCCTTTCTTGTTTAATCTTAAACCACAGGACTGGCTTCACAGCACTGTTAGGATTGTCCATAAACGCAACTGCCTCTACAAACTTTAGATAACTGGTTAATTGTGATTTTTCAAATTAAGTATCAGCGTGCTCCTACGTGAATTTTAACACCTAAATGAAAGTCAGTTTTCCCCTGCATCGGTTTTAACTTGAGAGGAAAGAATGTTTTGATCTGATGATTGGTGCACAGCACAGTAGTATCAAGAGATCTGTGTTCAATAATGCCAATCTTACCTTTTTCCTCTTAACTGGCGTAGATGGTGAAATACATTAATCACATCTCTTATTCTTCTAGGTGCTTCTTCGATTTTTGATGCAAGATTAATACATGCCATGGCAACAATCTGAAAGAACCACAATCCAATAAAAAGTTGTGAGATTATGGCACTACAGAGTACTGCTAGAAAAAAGTGCCCCTTTCAAAGTCTAAGGAACTTATCCTGTTGAAAACACTTTAGGACACAGCTGAGAACTTTAAGACCTTTGGTGAAATGAAATCGCAGTTGACATTTCTAGGCCATAGGCTTACCAGCTATGCTAGCGTTAATGCTTTCTTTTTATTGCTTAATTCCCCTTAATTGTGAATCCAGAGCCAAGCTCAATCTCACAGGAATTTTGCATTTGGTTGAAAATTCTAATCCTTGATAACAGGGCACCTGGGCTCAGGATGCATCTTCTGGTTCTAAAACACTTTCCTCAAGTCCCTACTTCCCGGTGGGTGAGAGCTAGGTACAAAGGCCTGAAACTAACCACTCCCTTTCTGGAAAAACTGGCTGCTGACACCACCTCCGCCCTCCTTCCCATTTCCGGATGAAAAAAATCCCCCTTCACCCGCCCCCGCTCTGCTTACCTCGAAACTGTGCTTGACGAAAGATTTGGAATAGAAAAAACGATGAAACAACACCTGCCCCGTTGCCATCGCCACCTGCAGACAAGAAAGAAGAACGGAAGCGCAGGGGTCAGGCGGGCCCGCACCAGGCGCCGCCGCCATTTTGTGCCGCCGCCGCTCGCTTCCCTCCCCCTCCCCCTCCCCGCCGCGAACAGCTCCAGTCCCCGTCTTCTCGTCGCCCAGCGCCCTCCCGCTCTCGACACGCCCGGGCTCCGGCTGGGACCCGCGGCTAGAGAGCCCCAAGGGGACACCCCCAACCCGGCCGGGACCTGGCGGTACCGGGACGCAGCGGAGAGAGAGGCGCAGCAGGTCGGCCCGGGGCCGGAGCACTGACCTGCGGCAGTCGAAGGAGAATGCCGGCGGCCTGGATGAGCTCGCAGCCCAGGATGCGCAAGTCCGTCTCGCTGGGCAGGTCGAGCCCGTCCTGCATGGACGGGGTGGGCGAGAGCCGCTCCTCCGGAATCAGCGAGTGGTCGATGGTGAGCGAAACTTCCGAGTACAGGCGGTCGCCGATTAGGATCCCTCCCGTCGTGGTCGTCGTCGTGGTGGTCGTGCCGGAGCTGGAGCCGCCCGCGCTCGGGGCGGCCGACGAGGCGGCGGCGGCGGCAGCGGTCGCGGTGGGGTGAGGCCCGGACGCCATGGTCTCAGCGAGCTGCACGCACGCCCGACGCAGCCGGAACCCGGAGAGAGACTAACCAGCGTCCTCGGCGCTACGGATATTCCCGTGACCGCCGGGTTCTGGGCCGTTTCACGCAGCGTGCGCTTCCGCCCTGACGTCACCACGCCCCTCCGGCGTGCGCCAACTAGTCCCTTCAGGCCTCGACTCCGCCCGCGGCGCATCAATCCTGCGCTGGCCCGGGAGCGGCGGGACGCTCGGGTGTCCTGGGTTCCCCCTCCGCTGGGCCTCCAGAGTGGTCGAGGAGGTGATCTATTTCCTAAAACAAGCCCAAGCCGCCTCGTTTGTAATATTTTAAACCACAAGTATAATAAGGGAGGCTAACAAAATAGCTTTACAAGATACCTTATCCCCAAGTTCGGGTCTGCAAAATTTACTGTAACCCCTGCGCGTTAACAACTTGTCTAGAACGTGCGTCCCTGTGCTCCCGTCTCTTCCTCTCCTAACTTTTCGCATTTAGGTGGCGCAGTTTCGGCGAGCACAAAGCGTCGACCTTCGCCCACATTGGCGGGTGGAAGTGCCTACTCCGATGTCGTGTACGGACGAACTTGTAATTTAAAGTGACCCGCAAGGAATCTGGAGAAAGGTGCTTTACAGTATTTTTAGAAAACAGGAATGTGAACTACTTCGGCTCAAAAAAACCCAAAAAACAAAAACCTCTACGATGAGCGTGTGGTTCACAGGGGTTTAGAAGTAAGGCGAAGGCTTCGTATTGACTGGGAGGGCAGCTGCTTTAGCAGTTTCGCTTGCGAAACTCAGGCCTGAGCCAGTGACAACGTCACAGCTTTCGCTAATCTGGAAAATCCCTAGTTTCCAAAAATAGTCTTAGGGCGAGACTTTACAGAGGTAATTTGATGATGCCTGGGGTCTCTGTATTCCTGCGTGGTTACTCCAATTAGGTAGTATAGGAGAAATAAAATCTCCATTGTATACATATTTTTCCCTCTGTGATATTAAAAGTTCTCCAAATTTCCTCAAAATTGAAGTAAAAACAATGATACTGATCCAGACTACTAGAAGCTAGAGAGGGAGAAAAAGGAGTAGATCCTGATTTACTCCAGCCATTTTTTTGTCCTTTGACTGAACTTCGGAGACGTCCAGGGATGAGAAGTCCCATTGCCTTTCTATTACATAGCTCAGTTTTAAGACTTAGTTTAATTAGAGAAAATTGAAGCCTGGATCTATAGAACAAAGGGAGCTTGAATACATTGAAATATTTGTCAGTGATGTCACTAAAGCAAAACATATTCAAGGGACTTCCCTGGTGGTCCACTGGTTAAGAATCTGCCTTCCAATGCAGGGGACGCGGGTGAGGAACTAAGATCCCACGTGCTGCAGGGCAACTAAGCCCGTGCGCACTAGAGCCCAAGCGGTAACTACGGAGCCTGTGAGCCTTCACGCTCTGGAGCCTGTGCGCCACAGTTAGAGAGAAGCCTGCGCGCCACAACGAAAGATCCCGCATGCCACAACGAAGATCCCGTGTGCCACAGCTAAGACCCGATGCAGCCAAAAAAAAAAAAAAAAAAATTCAAAAACCTCATTTTTAAAAAAGCATTAAATCAACCTTACATCAGTATTTCTGAACTCTGGCTGCACATAAGGATCTTCAGAGGAGCTTTTATTTATTTTTGGTTGAGCCACGGTGGCTTGTGGGATCTTAGTTCCCTGACCAGGGGTTGAACAGAGTCCTAACCACTGGACTGCCAGGGAATTCCCCAGAGGAGCTTTTTAAAATATACTGATGCCTGAGTCTTACTTGTAGGGGTTGATTTTATTGATTTGGGGTGGGCCCAGCCAGTGGTTGAATTTCGCCCATCCTCCAGATATTGGAATGTTCAGCCAGGATTGAGAAACATTGCTCCAATAGAGATACCGGACCTCTCTGCATGTCATGTTCACCTTTCTGACTAGGCTGCTTCCAGGGAAACTTCCTTCTCCAGTATTCAGCAGGGATTTAAAATGCTTTAACAAACTTTGAAATCTTTAAAAATTGATGATATGCTATTTTCATGGTTCTGATCATCTAGTATGGTTGTGTAAGATAGTATCAGTGGGTAAAGCTTCAATTATTTCAAAATAAAAAGGGGAAAAAAACCCCTAATTGGTGATATGCTTCATTGAAACATTGAACTTCAGTGAAATCACCACCTATATTTGTAATGACTTAAGAGTAATATAATTTATTTTTAATTTCTTAATGGAACATTTTTCTAATATTTAGAGGGTCTCCCACCATGCCTCTCCAGTAGGCTGATTTGGTGATATCTTGATATATTTTATAATTATTTTTTAATCTCTAGGTCTATGATTAATCTAAAAAAGTTCACAAGCATAGGAGTGAGAAGTTCTGGGACAAGGAGGGGTTACCTGCTCTACTCCCGATATCTTTTCCCAGCGGACCTCCCTGTTCCCCACACCTCCTGTGTCTGGCAGTCATTTCCAGGAGTGCAGAACCACCCAAACTATTCCACAGCTTTGTGCCCATTTCCCATTCCCTTCTGACTGTACCCCAAATTATATCCAATAGACACGACTATTTTCACTGTTCCTCCCTTCAGGCTCAACAATGGTGGTAGAGAAAGTGGGCCGATGTTTTAAATGCTTAGCATTAACTCATTAAACTGTGATGTTGTTGATACTTATAATTTAAACTTTAAAAAAAAAAGTTCATGACTAATCCAGAAGATGGAAAGTAATGGGTCTAGTGGCTCTGCTCCACAAGGCTGTCTAAGGCCCGGAGTTGAAAAAAACTTTTGACTATCCTTTTAAGAGTCAAATTCCAGAAAAATCATGGTTTGAAAAGGTTGTTACATTATTTCTGAGTTGTTTTGAAGAAAGTTGCTTTTCCATGTACCTACTTCCAAAACATCAACATTAAAATGTGGAAAGACTAAGACCTATTCAGAGTTATAAAGGATCCAGAATTGGGAGGGATAAAGCATATGTTTTAATTGCATAAAAGCTTTAGTAGCAATGAGTTCAGACAAGTGAGACTGTTCCATTAAGAAGGTAAATGAATATGAAAAATATATATACGTATAACTGAATCACTTTGCTGTACAGCAGAAATTAACACAACATTGTAAATCAACTACACTTCAATAAAATAAATTTTTTAAAAAAGAAGGTAAATGACTGGGTTGTCATTCGAAATAAAAATAGAATGGTAAGTCTATAATATATTTTGTATATTCTTTCTCAACAAACAGAGGTCCTAGTACTAGTATACCCTGAGTTCACCCATGTCTAAAAGGAAATCAACGATGATTAAAGTTGCATTTTTACTTACCAAGACCTGCAGGCTTCAGAGGATGACTGAAGAGAAAAATGGAATTATCTGTGACCTGGGGGCTACTGAAGAATCATATTCCTGATACTTAAATCAGTTCTCATTCCATTAGTCTCTGCAGCCTCTCAGGGGAGCATGTTTTTCATTAATATTTAAACATTCAGGTTCTTTAATCCTAAAATTACAATTGGCATAATTTCATTAATTTCTTCAGCAATTGGTTAGACCAGCAGAATTTAATAACACAACAGTGTAATTTAGGCTAAGGACAAATGAAATGTAAGTCCCCCGCCTAGATGGAGGTACACTCTTAATAAAGGGAATGGTACACACACAGACAAATGTCAGGGTGACTAGTAAGTGCAAAAAGCAGTCAGAGAAGGTGTAAATCATTACAGTTAATGTCAACAGGGATCACTTAGAACCTTAAGAAGTTGCTCATCAAGTTTCTATTTATGGCAGAAATCAGAGACTATCTGACTTTACACATGACTTTATTCACGTAGTTACATGACTTTTTCATTTAGTCCTGTGGCAGTTATATGACAATGCATTCTGGTCTGGTTTCCCTCATCATTAGAAATAGTCATTCTGGGGGATTCCCTGGTGGTCCAGTGGTTGGGACTGAACATGATTTATATGTAATTAACACTTAGGCATATACTGCTTGGTAAATCTCATAATAGCACTGGCCTGGGCATTCTGCTGCTGGCTCTGCAGAGAACTAGTTCTGACACTTAACCACAGTTTTCTCATTTCTTAAAGTGAGGGAGTCCAATTGGACCCCTTGCAGGTCTAAAGTTCTTTGACTCTGGTCATCCAGACATCTTAAACCTCAGACTCATCTTTGGTTATTTCTTCTTTATTGTATTTTAGTCACTAAGTCCTGTTGTTCCTTCCTTCAAAGAAGGAAATTGTTCTTGAATCTGTCTGTTCTATTCTACTATATCTGCTGTTATCTCATGCCTGGACCATCACAGTAGCTTTCTAAATGGTCTTCTTGCCTACAGTCTCTCCCATCCCTCATTCAACCTGGGACATCTCTAAATTGCTCTTGATATATCAGTTTACTTCTTCCACTTCCTCAAAAAAAAAATGCTGAAGATAAAAGATAGAGATCAAACACCTTTCGGCAATTGAGGCTTTCCACAATCTTAACTTACCTTGTCACTCATTTCCATATCCCATTACCACCTGACCTTATTCCCCTCTATGTCTCAACTTGAACCAAGACCTAGCACTTAATGACCTTTAGTATATTTTGACACATGATTCCATACTATCATGCATTGTTGTTACTTGATTAGTTCTTGGGTGAATTCATTGACTCCCTAAAAATAGGACCATTTTTGCATTTATTTGCATTCTCTACAGAACCTGATAGACACTGTGTATATGGTAGATACATAATCAGAACTTGTGGACTGAATTGCATGTTTTTCTCCAAGGGCCTTCCATAGGCAACCTGGTCTTGCCTTCTCCTTTCCATCCAGAAGTCAGTTCCATCTTCAAGTGCCTGTCCTATCACCACAGCCCTGTCTCCCTAACGGGGAGCTACAGGTCCCAATTTATCCTGTTATTTTTGCAGCACTTTGTAGCAGATCAGCTGTTTCCACTTCTGCTCTATTCTGTGTCCTCACAGTGGGCTACTTAAATAGCCCACCACCTCTGTTCTGTATAGGCCTGGACTGCAGAACAGAAGGCCTGTTGGAATTGCTATACCCAGAGAGTTGCAATGGGGGGACAGGAGCTCACAGAAACAATATAGTGAAGTCGTTTGGTGACTGAGTATGGACCAAAGCTCTGAGACAGTTTTTGGAGGTGTTTCCAGAAACTGGGCATGTGTGACCAAGAGTTAAGGCCAGTGCCAATTTGATAAACTGAACTGTAAAGCTAACACAAAACCACAGGTTTGCTTTTGGAGCTAGATTAAAGTTAGTATCTACTCTCATCTCTTTTATTCAAGCAAGGAAATTAAGGTCCAAAGATGAGGCTTCAAATAGCTACTCAGTAAATATCTGCTGATTGCAAATAATCCAGTCAAGCTGGTCCTTGGATGGATTTATTCTTTATGGTACTTCATGTCAAAAATTGGCCAACCAGTCTTAGTTTTAGTCAGCAGTTCAAGAGTAAGAAGAGCTTATTGGCATGACTTCCAAACAGACAACATCAAAGGAGTGTGACCCTGCCAACACCTGGGTTTTGGCCCATTGAAACTGATTTAGGGCTTCTAACTTGCAGAACTGTAAGATAATATAAATTTGTGTTGCTTTAAGCCACTAAATTTGTTGTAATTTTAAACAGCAGTTATAGAATACCAGTGCAGTGAGAGTTGCCATTTCCTGATATTCTTTAAGAAGTGCTTCTCAAACTTTAAGATGTATACAAATTACCTGGGTGGAGACTGAGAGCCCCATTTTCAAAGAAACTCCCAAGTGATGCTGATACTGCTAGTCTAAGAGCTATACTGAGTGGCAAGGCTTTAAAGCACATTAGATGATTTTATCTCTTTTAATAATCTCAATATGGAGGAAGTGGAACCCAATGGCTGAAAGTATTGGAGGCTCTGTAGTTGACTTACTGGGAAAAAAAAATCCTGTCACTCAATAGCCATGCAAATATAGGCAAAT